TGTATTTATCAGCATTGCTTCATTCAGCAATGCATGGTGTGTTTGTGCCTCTTGTTCATGCTACAGCAGGTGTGAAAGGCTGGAGATGTGAAGGTGTCCTTGAGTTCTGTTACTGTCAGGACCAACTGACCAAGTCCTCAGCAGAAGCTGTAAGTGTGTGGAACAGTGTGTGTGGTAAAAGAAGGCAGAAGATTCACTCTTAGTCATTCCTTTGATGAGCCATTCTCTATTGTATGACCACTCCTATTTATTTTGGTGGTTTATAATTTTCAGGCTTTAAAATCCTTCCATTTCTTTTCAGAATGGTGGTGAGCATGCAAACGTGCCTCCCTTCTTGGTGTTACTGTAGTGCATTATCACCTCATGGTAAATTTTGCCAAGGATGAGAGGGTCACAAGCAAAGCTGCCAGTTGTGTAGCAGCAAAGAGAAGACAGGAGAGCTCTGTGTGTGAGACTGTAGAAGGACATGGTCATTCCCTTGCTTATCAAATGTCACAGGTAACACCTGTATGTACCTGATGGGGTACCATGTAATGTGAGCTGCTTCTGAACAGTGAGGCCTATGAAATGTTATTACATCTGTTCCTTTCTGTGTGTTCCCAACTCTTGCCTTTCTTGATGTCATGAGCTCAACCTTAGGCTGTCTGCTCTTATGTGGAAGGTCACTTCTCTTCCACCTGTCCCAATGCAGTTTATATCCCTTACACACCTGTGATGTTTACAGCTGGGAAGAGGAAGCTTTCACAGGCCTATGTGCTCAGCCAGGCACACTTGTCTGTAGTGTAACAGTGCAAAACCACCTCTACTGTAATCCTCCAAGGGCAGAGTGGTCACCCAGTGAAGGCAAGGTTTTTTTGAACTGACCAGAGGCCAGTGGGAGAGTATGTGCAGAGTGTCTCTCACACAGTTACCCAGAACATGCTGGACACTCATCTGGAGACTGGTACATGGATGAGGAACTGGCTGAAGGAGTTCTAGACAAGAGCTGAATGTCCAAGTGCTAACCTGCAACTTGTCCTTCCAGAGTCCTTCCTGGGAGCAGTACTGTTTAGTATCTTCATAGACAATGGAATTGAACACACCCTCAGCAAATGTGCAGCTGACACCAAGCTCAGTTGATTCATGAGAGGTTGGAGATGCCAACTAGAGAGAGCTTGATAGGCTGGAGGAGAGGGCCCGTGAAAAGATCATGAAGTTCAACAAGGCCAAGGGAAAGGTTCTGCACCTGGGTCAGGGCAATCTGCAGTTCCAGTAGGGAGTAGGGAATTGGGAACAGCTTTGCAGAGAAGTACCTGGGGTTACTGGTGGGTGGTAAAATGGGACATGATTTGGCAAAATGCACTTGCTGCTCTAAAAAAAAGTTGTATCTTGGACAGTATAAGAGGTAATAAGGCAAACAGTGTAATGGGCTGGTTCATGCCCTCTAAGCTCTTTTTGTGAGACACCTGCTAGAGCAATGCATGCTTTCAATGACCTTGGAAGAACCCTTCCAACCAAAACCATTGTTTGAATCTATGAAGGACTTGGTGTGGCTTTGCAGTTTCGTATTGTCAGCCTCTAAATTATGGAGAGGAAAAGAATGATGTTTCAAGGATCACAAACAAAAGAGTAACTGTTAAATCTGCTCCCTTAGCATAGAGGTTGCTTCCATTGCTTTAGGCTGATCCATTTCTGGGTTTAATTCATCCCAGGTAATGAATTCAGCAGAATCCAAGATATCACATACAGTGCAAAAATGGTCTGGAAGTCTTCCCTATATTATCGTTTATTGGTCCTATGGTTAGGCCTGGTTTTATTAAGAGCAGCTGAGTTCCTTCCTTTATCACTCTGCTATGAATATTTATGAATATTTGCTTCTCACCTTAAATTGGGATAAGGACCTAAAATCAACCGACAGCGCATCTCAGTTCCAAAGGCCTTAGGAAGCACAATA